CAGATTCTTTTTCTATTCCAGGTAGGCGATAACAAAGGAAAATGGAAGGCCAAGTTTTAAATCATGATAGGTATGGTGATAATATAATATTAAGCCAAATTATCAACATGAAGAATGTTTATAACGGGACATGGGTTAGGGTGGGTAGTAGTGATTCAAAGGCAGGATGGAGCTTGTCAAAGTGATGGGCATGTGGCTGGAGGCAGAGTCATCCAGAGAAGGATGGGAGCAAGATGTGAAGCTGCCTCCAAGGTCTGGGCATGGTGGTGCCTACCTTTAATCCCAGTACTTGGGAGACAGAGGCAGGAGGATCTCTGTGAATTCTGAGCCAACCTGGTCTTCATAGTGAGTTCCAGGACAGCCAGAGCTACATTGCAAGACCCTGTCTCAAAAAAACAAAAAACAAAAAAAAAAAGAAAAAGAAAAAAAAAAAGTGTCTCCCATGTCAGTGAAACTTGTGGTAGACCAGTTTATGTGAGAAAGATGGGTCAGTTAAGGGAAGTTTTGTTCTCACAAATCTCTCTGATTTATTACAGCTTCTTAGAATTGGCTACTCTGCAAGTCTTGAGTTCGAGATCAGCCTGGGATATAGGAGGCCCTGTACCAACAAAATAGACTCCAAACAAAACAAACAAACAAACAACCCAAATCTACCCCCCCCAACCAAACAACAACTAAGCAAACAGAAGAGCAGAAGCTCTTTCTTCTTTCTTTATTTCAGGTTCTAGAGCAGAACCTCCTGAGTCCTAGACAACTGGCTTGGGTTTCACTGAAGTTAAAAACTTGCAGGGTCACCTAGAAAAAGACATGAATTCTCTGTATCTATGTGTCTCTGTGTCTGTCTGTCTCTGTCTCTGTCTAAATGACTAGGAAGGAGGTACGGCTGTCATACCCCATTCAGTTGGATGTTTTCCTTTGATGTCATTTCTCAAGGAGATTCCAAGGACAACTGGTTAGACAAAGCAATGTGAACTAGATCAATGGGGTTATGTTTCTTGGTGACCATGCCATGACTTTTAGCATTTCCCTCTAAGAGACTCAAAAGTCACACCGCTAACAACTTCATGTACTTGGAAACCACAGGCCAGAGAAAATATGACCTGAGGCTAGAGGTGGCTGATGACATAAGGCAGTGTTGGACTGATTGTTCCTATGCAGGTCAAAAGATGGGAAATTAAGCAGGAAAATGATGTGCTGACTCTGTTACCATGGAGACAGTCTGGGACTTCTCTCTCTAACAGTCAGCAAATGGTAGGTGGTGGCTATGCCCACCAGCCAGGGAATCTAGGTGAGACCAACTGGTAGTGATTCATAAGAAAGAGCCAAGCTTCAGGTTTTAAAGAGGATCTATATAAAGGAACAGCATTCAGGAGCCATGGTTGAATATGAAGACATTCTTCCTGAACCTGGGGAGATGAACAGCTCCATGTAACTCTACATCCACTGCTCATAACAAGCAGCACTGGCCAGAGTCTCTAAGGTCTGTACAATAAGGCAATGCCTGTCTCATGGAGTTAAAAATAAGGGTCCCAACCCTCACCTTATCCACATTGAGTGTAACCTATAATGAGCGAGTCTTTTGAGATGGCTACTAGGTTTACACTTGGTGATTTCTTACAGAAACAAAGGGTTTCCTTAGTAGAAGGCAGACGTCTGGCCATCACAAGACTGGGTGGTGCAGGGAATATTTGGTAGTGACTTTGTTGGCCTAGGTACTACCCAATAGGCACCTGAACCGGGAATGGGACAGCTCACCTCTCTGAGTTGAGTTTGTTCAGCTATAAAAGTGGAGTTTGGTACCATAGCATTATGATTAGAGTGTGCTGTATTGCAAACTCTGCACACATAACAACAACAATAGTAAACTTTTGATCTGGAGTTATTGTTATAATGGTCATTATTTTTTGAGACAAAGTCTTACTGCATATGTCAGTCTGGCCTCAGCCTTGCTGTCCTACCTCAGCCTCCTCTGTGTGCTGAGTGTGACCCATTTTAACTAATTTCTAAATTATTCTTATTTAAAAAACAGAATAGCAGCAGAGTTCTACGGTAGGGACCACAGCTCTCAGGGGTTGGGGGCAGCTGCTTGACCCTCAGTTCCCAGATGGCTTGCTGCCTAAGCCTTGGAAAGTTGGGTCACATTTTGGTGGCTTGGTTTTTATATTTTCAAAGTGGAAATTACAATGGGACTGAACGGTCACATGCACAAGGTAGTTAAGACATTTTTATGAAGTGATGTGTATTTAGGGCTTTGGTCTGACATGCAGCAGTGTCTGAATGTTGACTCTTGTGTCACACACACACACACACACACACACACACACACACACACGACACATACACTTCATTTAATATAAAACCATGTTAAGTCTACCTTTACAACATTTTCCATCCTGTGTGTGTGTGTGCATGTGCATGCATATGTCCTGGTCTAGGATGTACAGTGAAGCTGGAGTAAGAATTCAAAATCAATTAGATGTGGAGTGTGATGACTGTACGATTACTGGTGTCTTTAAATAAGAGCTGTAGATGTAGAGTAGTTTGAGAAGCTTAGCCAGGAAGGAATTCAATTCTGTATCTGGTCAATATGAAAAGCTGACAGGCTTCTGTGCACTAATGTTAAGGGAAGAGGTTGGAATTTCAGACCTAGAATTTATGACTGAAAGTGATAAAAGCAGTCAAGTGTGGTTGTATACACCTGTAATCCCAGAATTTGGAAGCTTGAAATGTTAGGGTGGAGAAAGCAAGGTCAGCCTCAACTACATATGCAAGCCTCATCTCAAGAAATTATTGCTGCTATTTCTTGAAATAAATAAGCACTGTGGTCAACATTGTGCATCATCTTAGTACAGGGACCAGCAGGGGTATAGGTACCATTATTAGATGAAGTTCATAGATAGGGGAAACTGAGGCACAGAGCCTATGATTTATTTGCTTCAGGTCACCTAATTAATCAATAACCCAGAGTTTCAACCTAGGTAATTTTTTTTTCTGGAGTTGACATTCTTTACTCTTTTGCCTCCAAAGAAAAAGTGGAAGCCAATTGACTGGCCAAGACCACACAGTAAGAGAGGGGATGTGTCCTGATAAGGGTATGCTTTTGTGTTTAGCCAGCAATATTTTTTCATTCTCTCATTAGCAACAGGGTCCTATCGGTTGAGCCAATGATGAGGACTCAGCAGATATTGCATGAGTGAATAAATGTTAGGGATCCAAGTCTTGCTATAGTTGACACCCCCGTCCCCAATCCTACCCTAGTAACAAGATGTTCTAGACCACAGTTTACAGTGAAAACCAGGAGAATCATTCAAATACATAATTCCAATTCCCAGACCTGATCCTACTGTGTGTCCATCAGGGTCAGCCTGGCCCACCATGTCCTTAAGCCCTGACCCGACTGTGTGTCCATCAGGGTCAGCCTGGCCCACTGTATCCTTAACATGAAAGAACATTTGACTGGAAGCCATATTTTGACCTACAAGAGCCCACCAAATTTGCAGCAGGCCGAACCACAGTAGTTTTGTTACATAATGTAAAGCCATAACAAAATGATGTTGGTTTTCCATACGAGTACTAAAGCAGCTGTGAAGGTGATTTTAAAAGAGGAATTCCCAAAATGTTTAGAGCAATCACAGCATTGCTGAGGTAATTACATTGCTTCCCCAAGTGACTATTTTGAAGGGAAAAGCTAGTTTGAATTTGTAGTTGCTGGAGTATTTAATAAATACCACTTTCGCTACTGAAAGGACTTTCTTCCTAACCCTGGTTTTTCTAGAAGAGGAGGCATCGTGGAGGGGAAGCATGTCACCATATTGTCTGCTTCATTGTTGCTTTCTGTGTTTGAGGTGGGGTCGGACCGTCAGGTCATTTTGTGAGCTCCATGGGCCATCACCATCCCTGCTTCTCTTTGAGTTGTTCCCAGCACTTTGGCCTTTCCTTGGCAAAGCTCCACATAGATGGTGGGGCATTGTGATTCCATCCTGGAACCTGTGTAAATGGTGGGGGGGTGGGGGGCGGCCCCAAGTGACAGTGGTGCTTCAGGTGGACATCTGTTACATTCTATAGAACCCTTTCCAGAGACCGAGTTCACCTATGGGAAATCTGAAACCAGTCAATAATGAACAGTTTTATATCAGGGAACCCGCTGACTTTTTTGAAGCATGCTGTGGTAAAAGAGAGTGGAAAATAGTTGCCTGGGAGGATCCATTAGGTATCTGTATGATATGTGGCTACCCATAGTTTTGTTGGGTCTCACATCCACGGTTGGAAACCTCTTCTTTCTACTCTATATCTACTAATAATCACACAGACAATTAGAAAATCATGCCCAGTGTAGCAAATTTTCTTCAATAACCAATTATCAAATCATCTCAATTTTCTTATTTTTCAGTTAGTCGTGCATCTTATTGACATCCTTAGATAATGAAAAATAACTCAAACAAGAATAGATGTTTAGCTTTTAAAAATTAAGTTTATTTATTTACATGGGCCTTTTTGCCTGTGTGCACATGTGTACCAAGGCATGCACATGGAAGTCAGAGGACAACTTTAAAAAAAAAAAAAAAAAAAGGCTTGTCTCCTTCCACCATGCATGTCCTGGGATTGAACTCAGGTAATTAGGCTTGACATCGCCTCCTCCTGCTGAGCCATCTCACTGGCCCAAAAGACACTCAAGACAAACTAATGGTGAAACAGTGTCTTCATCCGAGTTTCTCCCACGCACATTTTCTCTTTGACAATCATCCATTTTCTGAGCATGGACTTTATTGAACACCGACTTGGTTTTTCTAGCTGCTGGAGATAATATTGTCAGGGGAACATCCTTGGAGCTCACAGCGATGACAAGTAGGGCAGTGAGATGAAAAAGTGAATTATCAAGTACTTTGCAAAGTGCTAAGGGTTATGGGGGAAGAAAAAGTGGAAGAGACAAGGAGGACTTCCTGGAAACCGGAACATGTTTCAGTTTTTTTTTTTTTTTTTTTTTTTTTTTTGGTTTTTCGAGACAGGGTTTCTCTGTGTAGCTTTGCGCCTCTCCTGGAACTCGCTTTGGAGACCAGGCTGGCCTCGAACTCACAGAGATCCGCCTGCCTCTGCCTCCCGAGTGCTGGGATTAAAGGCGTGCGCCACCACCGCCCGGCACATGTTTCAGTTTTAAATATCAACCAAACGGATGGGTTCTCCCTAAGAACTAGGCAGAGTCTGGAAGGAGCTGAGGAAGCCAGGGCAGCGTGGCCCAATGGGGTGTCAGGAATCCATGGCAGTGTATGTCCAATGGGGTACCAGTCCTGAGAAGTGCTGGGCATGAAAGGGTTGGAAGGAAAAGATTTCAGACATTTACAAGGCTTGTTAGCATATTAAATAATTTTCAATCTGCTTAATTAAAAACATTGAAAAATGCTTCTTTCTCCCCACCCCCTTCCTTCCTTCCTTCCTTAACATGCTGTCGTGAGTGGTTAGGGACTTTTGACATTGCAACACAATGTGTCATCATAGCTCTTGTTCAAGACTCTCATGATTAAGTTACAAATAAAAATCACACACACACATACCCCAACTCATAATGTTTTAAACGAAGTTACTATTTTGTGTTGGGCACATTCATCTGGCCATTCTCCCTGTAGGCACCTGGGCTGTGCGCTGGATACTACCGTTGCAGCAACTAGACCATTGCTCTGCAACAGCTTTCAATGTGGATGACATCTTGCTGGCAGCCATCAGTAGGCCCTCCAAGGAAGGATAGTCTAGAAAAGGAGCATAGTTTTCTGAGACCTGAGCCTCAGTTTGTCCCCAAACAGGGGGAACTACTTTTATTTTTTGTTTTATCTTTTATAAAGTGGGCATAGCATACAAACTTTGAAGGCTCGTTGCAAAGATTCAATAAAATGACATGTAAAAACACTGTGAATGAGGAAGCATTAAAAAAAAATACAGTGTTTCATGCGCCTTTTGAAAACTTGCTTTCTTGGTATCTGGGATGAGTTAATCCACTATTATCCTACCTAGGGTTCATTTACAAAGAACTTTCCAGAACCAGTTTGATGGTGAGAGAATAGGGATTTGAGTCTGTAAACTGCTCTGTTTTGGGCCAGTGTCTAGTTATTGACACTTACTAACACTACCTATTAGCCAACTAGTTTAACTAGCTGAGGCCCCATTTATCTGTAATAGCCAGTGGGACCCAAACTTTGCTGTGTGCTAGAATGACTTGGAGTGAGTGTGCGTGTGTGTGTGTGTGTGTGTGTGTGTGTGTGTGTGTGTGTGTGTGTGTGTGTGTGTGCAGGCCAGAGTGCATGTAGAAGCTACAGGACCAGCCTGGGGGTTGGTCCTCACTTTCTACACTGTGTACACACAAGCTCCCTGGGGTTCTCCAGCCTCTGCCTCCTGTCTCCTGTGGGAACTCTGGAAATGGAGACAGCCACACTGTGTCCATCTTTGACATAGATTATTGAGCTATACTCAGGTCCTTACACCCACTCAGCTGTCTCCCTTACCCCATACTTGGAGGGTTTTCATTAGCAAGTGTGCCTCCTTAGAGCCTGCCTTGGGATAGTCTAACCTAACTGCTGCAGAGTGTGACTGGGTTATTTAAATAGTTTTTATTAGTTCTTTGGGAGTTTGTGTGTGTTTTGATGACTTTCACCTCTTCTCCAAATCCTCTGAGATCCACACGCCCTTCCTTATCTACCCAACTTCGTTTTTTTTTTTTTTTAAGAATTCACTAAGACCAATGTGTGTTGCCCAAATATTCCTGTGTGGTGACTGTCCTGTTGAGTGTGGTCAGCTTACCAGAGGCCAACATTCTAAAGACAAAACAGTCCCTCTAGCTCCCAGCAGCTAATGGCTGCCAATATCTCCACAACCAGGGGTGGGATTTCATGCTCAATTGCTCCCTCCATGCTGGAATTTGGTCCTGCTTAGGTTTACACAAGTCTTGTGTGTGCTGTGGCATCCACTATGAGTTCAAAGTGCAGCTGTCCTGTATTCAGGAGACACTGTTTTCTTGTCGCCCACCACTTCTGTCTTTTACACTCTTTCCACTCCCTCTTCCTCGGTGGTCCTGGAGTCTTGGAAAGGAGAGTTGTGCTATATATGTTCCATTTAGGGCTGAGTATTTTGCAATCTCTGATTCTCTGCCCCTTGGTCAGTTGTGACTCTCTGTGTTAATCACGTTCTACTGCAAACAGAAACTTCTCTGACAGGAGTTGAGGGATGAATGGAGCATGTGGTTAGATGTACGGCTGAGTTTGGGAACCACACAGATGCTAGTCCCTGGAATGAAGTGCTCAGTATAAAGAGGGCTGTTTCTGAAGCTTCAGACTATGGTGGATTGGCCTGTCTCTTTGGGGACTGTAGCTGGACAGCACATGATGCATGAGTGTGTTATGGAGCAAAGCCACACTTTCTCATGACAGCTGGTAAATGAATAGACAGGGGAAGGGTAGAGTCCTTGGACCTCCTTCCAGGGCTCCCCCGACCCAATGTTTTAAGTTCCTTCCTTCTGATCTTCTAGCTTTCTCCTGCTAGATCTCTTCTCCTGGTTCTACCACTTCCCAGTGGTTGTATAGTATAGGCTGGGAACTAAGTCTTAAAACTATGGGCTTTGGGGGACACTCAAGATGCAAATGCAACATTGACCAAATGAAAAGCTTAGAAGTAGATAAAAATTGGTGTGCACGATTGCCTTGTCTTCTGGAAAAGTGGCTATGCAAGAAGGTTGAAAGGGAGGAGACTGCTTCCAGTAGCTGCCCACATTAACCAGACATCAGCCATGACATGGGCTATAACTTCTACCCCTTCTCCACCAATCCTCCAGACTTTGATTTCCATCTTGATGGTAGGGTATGTGACCACAGGAAGACTCAGAAAATTTCTCAGGAATGTGATGTTCATTCGGCATGCTTTCTGGGTCCTTCCCACCATGCAGTGGCATCCTTCGCACCATGCAGTGGCAGATGTGCAAGTGTGAAGACCTGGAGTCTGGATGCCCTCTGGCTTTCTTTGCCATAGCTTTCTGGGAACCTCTTAAATGTGTTGTTTATACCTTGATGTCAAATAATATCAGTGTTAGCATTTGAGGGTAGGAGAGAGGGATGATGTTTGCATTTTAACCTTAAGCCTAGGTAGGAAATACAGGATTTTATTCCATAAAAATGACTGAATACATAAAGTAGTGTTTAGGAAATTTATAACTTTTATTCTAGAGAGGTTCCTCTGAGCACTTGTATCATGTACCTGTGGCCAGCCCAGCTCTCTCCACTTTCTGGCATATCAAGAGCATTCTCATAGATTTGTGCCTATGTAGGCTGAGATTCCTCTCTGATTGTCATTCATTCATTCATTCATTCATTTATTCATTCATCTATTCAGCACTTAGAGAGCTTCAGCTGTGCTCCACACATACTGTGAGTCAAAAGATAACTAAACCATCAGTTACACTAGCTGATGACAGAGTCACAGTAATTCAAGTATAGGGCTAATCTCAGAAGTGTGTGGACATGGTGGAAACACAGGAGAGTCCTCACCGTGGGGAACTGGGAGGGGCCATCTTGGAAGAGCTCATAAAAGAGGTGACTTGGGCCATGTGTGGTTGGTTCCACTCATGACTTCCTTTGGATGATTGCCTCGACAGCACTGCTCTAGGGGACTGACCTGAGAATAGCAGCAGGGGCTGGCTCAGGTTAGAGCCAGCCATTGAAGGCTGAGTGGTTTGCCCAGGGAGTGCAAGAGCAGCCACAGGCAATAGTGAGCCATACCCTCCAGAGTTCTGACTCTAAGTTTAGTGTTCTTTCCATGACCCTGAGTTTCCCCTGCTGGTTCAGCAGCTGGCAGAGCTACATAGATGAAGACATAGTTGGGTGCCAGTGGCATCAGGTGATGTTGTGAGCATTTTTTCCAGTTGAACCTGGCTGCCAGGGAAAGCTCTGCCCCTCTTCTTGTGCGCCCAGGCAGTCAATGTGCTATCGCGTCTGGAAAACTAAGCTTTGAGATGGAGGACTTCGGGAAAGTCCAGGTGTAACCCAAAATTCAGTGTGGCAGGAGACTTCTATTCTGATATGGTACAAATTCAGAAGTCTGCACACTGAAAATCACCAACATTTTTGCCAGGGTGTTATGTATTTTATGTACTTAGAACTTGATCAAATAAATAGAGTTTTATTTCAGACTCTGAAATTATTTTCATCTATACCTTCTCCTCTTATCTTTATTAATGGCTTTAACCACCACTAACTTACTGGTGGGTCTCAAATAAATTTCTTCAGCCACAAATATGTTCTACATCCTTGCTATAGCCAGTGGAATCAGGCTGTACTAAAAGATTGTAAACTCAAAATATTTCAAACTGAATTCAGTGTTTTCTTAGTCTTAATTTGCATATCATGAATAGCCTACTATCAATTCAGTTGTCCAATACAGAATATTGAAATTAGCTCACTCTAACTCTCTACCAAGTGTCCTCCTTTGCTCTTCCCTCCAGACCTGTCAGGATTCTACTCTGCCCCCATCCTTTGCTACCTGAACACCTGCAGGATATGCCTTTCCTTCCTAAAATAAATAAATAAATAAATAAATAAATAAAAGAACATTCCCGCCCCTGTTTAGTGGAGCTGCCCTGGCAACTCGAAAGCACTGGCCCTGTTTTCATTTGAGGTTCGTTCATCTCTTTCCAGCAGGCTAATACTTCTTCCTCCATCAGTTAAGTAAAATACCTTGAAAACAGATTTCTTTGAGGACGGAGGCTTTTATTATGTCTCAGGGCTATCATTTGGAATACTAGTGGTTATTACACACTACCTACCGTGTTGCGGTAGGTAGGCATGGCATTTGCCTTAAATGAATATCTATTCTCTTTAATCTCCATTTTAAAATAAGCTATTTTTTTATTCCAGTGGCTCTTAACCTTTTTTTTTTAAAATCATGAACACATCTGGAATGTGATGAAAATTATGAATCTTCTGTATTGAACACTCTCTCTCTCTCCTCCTCCCCCTTCCCTTCTTTCCTCTACCCACAACTTCAATACAAAAACAAAACAAACTACAACCCCCCAAACCCAAACCAAACCAACCAACCAACCAAACAATCAAACCAAAAACCACTTCCTCCATGTATTCTTGAAGTGGTGAAACCTTGATAAGGACTTTTGTCTTACATGGGTTTATTGCATATTTTCGTGTACCGGCCATAGTATACTGGACTATTTTAAATAAATGTTCCAGTGAACTTGGTTCTAGCTGAGATGTGTGTGAGCAGGGACCCATTTTCCTTGAGTTTGTACCACAGTTTTGAAAGTGAACTGTGGCTAGGGCAGTGGATCACACATCCATCTGGAACCTACCCTTACCTAGTTGTAGGACTCTGTGAGATTCTGTAATGAGCTGTAGTGGAAATCAACCTGGATTCTGGACCAGGGGACCTGAGTTCTTGGCTCCACATGTTTTAGTAACTGTGGAGAACTTTCTGGAAACACGACTCAGGTGTAAACTGTCCATCCGACTGACAGCCCTTTTGTGTTTGTAGCATCCTTGGCATTTCTATTATTTCATTATCCCAACAGAAAAGCTGCTGAGGAAGCCAATGGGTAAACCACGCCTAGTGCCAGAGTCTCAGCACTTGGGAAGTGAGGAAGGTAGACCAGATGGTCAAGGTCACCCTCAGCTACGTGTTGAGTTGGAGGTTGGCATTGGCATGGTGGATTACATGAGACCCTGTTTCAAAAATAAAAAATAAAAAACAAAAACAAACAAGCAAACATCCTGCTACACACACACACACACACACACACACACACACACACACACACACACAGACACACACACACACACACACACACACACACACAGAGGTCAACAAGTATAAGCATTCAATTCAGAAGGGCAAACAAGAAAGGAACACACAGAGAGGTACACGGAGAGTAGCTGCAGTTAGGAAATCCACAGAAGGTCCCTTCTGGCTCTCATCCCCAAGTCTCTTCATTGTCAGTCTCTGCTTTTCAAAGTGTGTCATGATTTCATTCAAGCTGCTTCTTGCTTATGAGTTGAAGACAATGATTGGATGCATTCATATCAAATGAGGTTGTGTTAGAAGGAAAATAAATTGTATGTAAGTGGGAATGATGACTAGTGACATTCTGGCAGTTGTACTGGGTGACCAGTGTGCATGATTACTGATAATTTCATCTTGGATAAAAAGGACACTTGTAGAAACTGTGCTTTTACCCTCTCTGAGTATTTGACACTAGGAACTCATGCATGCTAGTCAAGTATTGTACCATGGAGCTATATCCCCAGCCTGAGAGTGCAAGTTTGAGCATCCTTTTGTCTATGAATTCTGTTTTTCCAAATGACTCTGAATGATACTGGAGACTAGAGGTAGGAACTTGACCTTGGCTTACTCAGCCGGGGCTCTTGAGCATCTTTGGTTATGTCAGTCCTCAAACCATTGATGACTGGTGGTGTGCTAATGCTCGCTCTTGCTTTCTCTTCCCCACTCACATTCTGACTCAGGCTCCTAGAGCTGAAGAGACCTCAGAGGTTAGTGTAATGCCACTTTGTGCAAGTAGGGGACCAAAGCCTTTGTCTGAGGTCACACAAGCTATCTAGTAGCAGATCTAGAGTTGCTCCTGTATCTGGTGACCACCAGACTCTAAATGTCCTAACTTTTTAATCACAAAACATACTTGGAAAATGCAAAACTAGCTAACACAGCCCCTGCATGATTACATTTCCAGCAGCTTTCTGCATATCCCTGCTCATTGTCATCAGACCCAATGCCAAACTCTACCTCATTGCAATATCATTCTCAAGGTAAATACTCTCGCCACTACTCTGACTTTGTTGTTTTCCCTTTCCTCCATCCCTCCCTGGAACCCGAACTTCTCCTGCCTCAGCCTCCCCTGTGGGTACCAGGATTCTATCTGTATATATATGCAGCCCTGTCAGGGTGACTTGTTTTTTTTTTTTTTGAGGACTGTCTAAGGTATGTTGAGACCAGTTAAATATTTTCAGATGAAAGGGGGAAAAAGCCTTTGTTACGTGAAACTTCAAATTCGATCAGATTGAAAATGCCATCAGTGTGTTCCAAAGGATGCCTTTGTGTGGATTCACGCACCAGAGGCACAATGAAAGCCACTGTTATGATTGGCACCATGCTGGCTAAACTGGAAGAGATGGGGGTGTGGGGAGACATGATTCAGTTAGAAAAGAACTGAAAGGTGGAGAAGGGACTAAAAAGCACCCCCACACAGTTAGAGAACAGTGATGTTCTACACGGCAGTGGACATTGTGGAGCTGTGCAAGAGCAGAGTGGTCATAGACAGCAGCATTGTGGATGCAGTGAGGTTGGAACATGGCCTTCACTGATGGCTAGAACTGGAGTAATGAATCATAAGTAAAGAGGCAGAAGGAAGGTTTGACAGGCTGGGGAAAGGGTGAGGGGATGTGTTCACAGAGCCTATGAGACACTAGTGAGTTACCGACCTGATTGGTCCATGGGGGGACCAGTCTGGGTATGATGCCAGCAGCTGGCAATAGGTTGGTGGTAGTGAGAGCTCAGAGCCCTTGAATTTGAGTCCTAGCTATGTAACCTGGGTCTAAACTTCTCCATGCTGGGATATTCTTGTGTAAAGTGGGGCTAATCCTTATCTTCCCCTCCTACTGTGTTGGAGATTGGATTTGATTTCCATGCTCTAAACAAAGTCAAGTTTATGACCTTGCTTTCGATGTGTCCCATGCTGCTTGGTAAGCCTTTTCAGTCCTTACTGGTTTGGCTGGGAAGTTAAACTGAGCATGCTCCAACTCTATTAACTATTATATTTAAGATGAAGACAGAAAATAAAACCTTGGAAATAGTCTGAGTCCGAACTTGGATGAGCAATAGAAAGGCATTCTTGAAAGAGCTGGAGAGTCTTGGCTTTGAAAGCACCTGTGCAGGCTGGGCATTTCAGTGCACACTTGCAATCCCAGCACATAGGAGGCTGAGACAGGAGTCTTGCTGGGTGGTTGAGGCCAGTCAGAACTACATAAGAAACTCCTCCCGCTCCCCCTAAAAAGAGCAAGCAAACAGACAATCATCTATTAAGACCTCTGGAGAACTTGAGCATTGACTGCCAAGGGGCGGGACCTCTGGCCCCTGCACTGATGTGTGGGTTGGTGAAGCAAGGACAGCATTGGCCTGAAAAGAAAAAATAATGTATTTCAGGGGATTAAAGTTAGTCAAGTTTGTTTTTTTTAAATTATTCTTTTGATATCCTGGAGGTAGGTCATCAAGGGTCTAGTTCTAAGGATAGTAAGTGAAACAAACAAACAAACAAATAAAATTCCAGAGAACTGGATAATGCCTGTTAACCAGTTAACCACTATGTTTTGGCTATTTACTGGAAAGTTACCAATAATATCAATAGACAGGCATGCTGAATAGGCTCTAGGTCTCTTGAATCAATGGCTCTGGTCACCTCTCAGCACCAAGGGGATGTATCAGCTCATCTGCTGGCAGTCCAAAGAGACTGTAAGCAGAGCCAGAGCATCTGGGCTGATTGTCAAGGGTGGAGAGGCTCCGCTCAAGTCTTGGGATCCTGCCATTCGTCAATAGTCCTCTGACCCTCTTAGTCTACCTCAGCCAGGCTCTCCTCCAATTCTGATTGTCTGGCTTTTGCATAATTACAGTGTCTTCCCCGTGGGGTTTGCTAGCAATTCTTGGATTGTGACTCTGAAGGAAAAAGCTGCAACAAGTGCCATGGTGCTCTCATGAAACTTAGCCTGCTTCAGTGAGACAAACTGTGTTCCAATGGGTTGCCACTGAGGATGATCTCCAGTGAGTTAAAAAGGTTCCTCCGGGCCTTGCCACTCTACAGATTTGACATTCTCCTCTATGGGTCTCCCTCACCCCCCAGTCTTGGCATCTACTGTCATCTTTTAGGAATTTGGAATCTGGAGGGGACAGTGAGGGTCCTCAGCAATGCCTTCTAGAGAACAAGGTCATGGTCAAGTTTGGGGAAATTCCTTAGTCTCTTCCACTGCTACAAATGGGTAAGTATTGATAAAGACGGACAAAACGTTTATTTGGACCTGGTGCTGGGCTTCCGTATCTCAGGCCCATACACAGGGTGCAAACCTATACAATATTATGATGACGTGACAGCACGTAGGGATGCCAGACAGTGAGCAAAGGAAGGCTGGCAAAAACAAGTTGTGCCATGTAGTTCTGTGACCACACCATCTAAAGCACACCTTCCCGCTCGCAATTATTATTAAGGTTACCCTGGAACCCCTCCCTACTGATGCTGGGGAAAATAATTATTAAAATGACAAAGGCATTGGATAGTCAGCTCTCACATCTTTGTCTGTATAAAAAAGTTTGACTGCCATTTAGAATAAGTCAAATAAAAGCTTTCACCCTCTGTGTCCTTCCAAACTCCCCTGGTGGTGACTTAGATGCCAGCATACCCCCTCCCCCCCCAGTTTTCTGCCTTGTCCATAGAACCCTCACACACAGCCTGGGACTCCTCTTTCTTCCCTACCCCCTCCCCATTAAAAGGAAAAAAAAAAGATTTAAAGAAAAATAGCTCCAGTTGAGTGAGGCCTACGCACCGGGTATGCAAGTCAGCGAGCGTGACCCACGAACACGAGTGGGGCCCTGGGTGGATGCTCCTTGGTACCAATTCTCTGCCTGGGCCCGGTGGGTAGAGGGGGAAGATGTTTATTTTTAAGGTTGGGAGGTGGGTCGTGTAGGTCTGGGATTCCGATAACCCAGCACCCCAGCACTGGGGCTGAAGGGGTTCCTCCTTCCCCTCCCCCACTCCGTCTTTTTTTTTTTTTTTTCAAATTTATTTTGCCCAGGCGGGGATTGGCGACGGTCAAAAGGGAGCAGTTGGCACTGAATGTCACCCTGAAGGTAAAATGAAAGACAAAAGAGGAACGCATGCTTGCTTTTGCAGCGGCTGCGGCGGCGACGGAGGCAGGAGCAGCAGGATTTAAAGGGAAAAAAGAAATCACACGCACATACATACATCTATACACACCCAGAGGCGTCGATTATGCAAACGCAGTAATGCCATCAAAACCTGACAGTGCCGGGGAAAATTTTTTTTTCAAAAAAAAATAGAGAGATATATTTATAATTTTTTTTTTTTTTTAAAAAAAACGAGGGAGCCAAACGCATGCAAAGAGAAACGTGCACATACCACGCAACCACCCGAGGAGAACCTGGCAGCCCGTCTCCTCTTCTGCCAAGTTATCATTAAGAAAACAGGGAAGGCATCATGACGTCCTGGGTCACAGGGAGTGCGGACCGACGCTACCAAGAGCGAAGGGAGGCGCCTGGGCGCTCCGGCTAGCCGCGGGCGCAGCTCGGCCCCTCGCCGCCCGGCTGGGTGAGTGCTGCGCCGCTCGGGACGCGGACCCCGGGGCCCACGCAGGGCCGCCGCGCGCGGGGACACAGCCTGGGGCCGGGCCCTGGCCGCCCGCCGGCCGCCCGCCACCCCCTCGCCCCGCCGAGGTCGCGGGAGCCCAGCTCAAGGAGGCGTGTGTGAGATGTGCGATGTCCCTGCATGGGGGGTTTGTAGACTTTCCTAAGCCAAAGCAACCGGGGCTGCTACGGCTGCTTTGAAAAAAAAAATTAAAATTAAAAAAAAAAATCCCCGAGGACTCACCCGATTAACCTGCTGCAGTTCTGACCCTGCCAAAGGTAACTGCCCCATCCTTAACCATCAGCGTCTGGAGACAGACATTTGCATCTGTATTTGCAGTCCGGCTTGGAATCCGTATTGCTACCCCTTCCCCCTTCACTTGCTTAGAGTCTCTTGGAGGAAGAAAAAAAAAAAAGAGAAAAGAAAAGAAAGAAAGAAAAGAAAAAGAAAAAGAAAAAGGACACCCTCTCTCAATAACACACTCATAAGTAGCGCCCACCTCTTGCAGACTTGCCTGGCCCAGACTGCAAAACTGTCAGGTGTGTGCTAGAGACACAGATAAATTTGAATTGCTGTTAGATTCCTTCTTTCAACACCCCTCCCATCCCCCCTTCCTGGTTACAGACTTTGAGTGCTTGGTAAAGTGGCCAAGACCTAAGGCAGAGTTAGGGCACCCGGACTGGGAGGGGATGGGGCCAAAGGGACATGGGGCAGGGGTCGCTGTGGGTGCACGGGGGTGTCAGGAGTTGGAGGCTGTTGCCATGGGGCAGTACTGCGGTTGTGGTGCTGCGTGACCCTCCTGTCCTCTGAACCTTCCCCTCCTCTCCAGGCTTTCCAAGGCTTTCACCTTCCCCAGGGAGGAAGTCACCCAAGTTGTCTGGAGGTCACTGGACTAAGTATTTCAAACTGCTTATCATTCCTTGCCACCTTTTGATTCTATCAGAGCGCCTGCGGGTTAGAGCCCCGTGCACCTCCACCCCTCCCCACCCCTACTTGGCTCCCCGACTCTCCTCTTCCCTTTCAGCAGGGAACCTTCTCCTAGATGCACCTTCTCCTCCACCCAGAACCTTAACAAGCAGTTCTGGAACTGCCTTGAGTCCCCTGCTCCCGGCCCCCAAACCCCCAGGAAGCCTCCGGCGCTGAGGAATGAGTATATGTGTTTATTAATTGTGTTGCTTTGTTTGGGCGGATTCTGAGTTGCCAAATGGGCCTATGACCTCCTGCTACTTTCAAACGACCCTGCCCAGTAATTCAAGACGTGAAGACCTGCAGCCCCTGAAGTATGTTTCAGGACAGCTGAATGGTTGAACTAGTTTTAAAGAGAAACTCATTTGTTTCCCACACTGCCCAAAGACCAAATACCAGAGGGTGTTTGGAAAACATCCAAGTTCAGAAACACTTAAGTTCAGAGAAAAAAAAGTCAGAAGTGTCTGAGGGAAGACAGCCAGAAGGACCACGGAGTGGCTTTAGCCTGTCTTTGGCTGTTTTTTTTTTTTCTCCTGTCCAGTAGATTTGGTGTTTCCAAACTGAGTTAAACCTGAGAAACAGTTCTGTCTTTGTGACAAAGAGAGGGAAGTTTGAAGGCCTCTCAGATCTGAGCTCTGGGGTGGCAGAGGCATGGCCATGGTGATGGAGGTGACATGACCTTGAAGGGGATGCTTCCTTGCTTTGAGGAAGCCATCAGGCTATGAGGAAGCAGGCCTCCAGGATCTTTCAAACATTGATTCGTCTGCTATCTGTGCTCTCATTATTTTGTCCTAAAGCAATTCTCATAACTCTTTAAACTTGCATTACGTAGTATTAAATGTGTATCTATTGTGAATGGCATCATGTTGCACATTAAACTGTCCATTGACTGTGGTGATGAGGTAAAAAAAAGATGGCTCCTTCCCCTTAGTAAGTCAGAATCATTTAAGTGTTCTTGTATGATATGTCCTGAAACCTTCTGGTATCCTTTGCTCAACAGAAGAGACTAGATCAATCGATTAGGTTTTCACGTGTGTGTGCAGCTCAATTTATTCTGTGCAATTTTTCCAGAAATTAAAAGGTTACCAGAGAGTGCCATGTTCCCATCTCCAACTGAGCACCACTTATTTCCACAACAGTATTTCAATATTAAGTGATCTTCAAGATCTTTCATCTTTCATTTTGAGCTCCAAATTTGACTCAGCGTGAGTGTGGCAGCCCAGTAAGATAAGGGCTAACTAGCTAAGCACGCAGACCACCAAAAAGCTCTCTGGAGCATGTTGCCGCAAACAGGATCTGAGTAACCTCCTTTCCAGGGACCTTGTTCTCAGCTGTAGTGAGAATTTTGGCAAGCGCCTGCCAGGGTTAACGGGCTTGTGTTTGAGGCTGACCTCCTCCATGACTCGTTTCTCCTGCTTCTCTACTATGTACCTTAGTTGAGCACTCAAGGCAAACTTCCATGCGGTCCCTTGACACGTTCTAACAGACGCATCCCTGGGTTCACCTGCCCCAGGAAAGAGGACGACTATTCAGGAGATTCTCCTTTTGTTCACAGAGGTGGCAATCAAGTAGCTTTATTTATTTATTTACTTGTTTACTTTGATGTCTTGTGTGCTCCACTCTGGTCGTTGCAAACCGACACATATCCGAGGAGGTCAAAGTTGCCTCTGGAGGTTGACCTGTGACGTCAGTCAGTTTCAGTTGGACCTGGAAGACCAGGTCACCCTGGGGAAAGGATTTTATGAAACAAAGCAGAAAAATTGGTATTTGTTTGGAAATTGTTGGAAAACTGTTGGGATAGAAAGCTTTTGAGGGAAAGCCACATTGATGAAGAAAAACACTGAAGAGGTAGGGACTTTTGAATAATAGATTGACTATGTAATGGTCAACCACAAGATAAAATTTTTACACAGTATTTTTATGGCTTAAATTGGCTGCAGTGTAAACCAAGCTTACTACTCTATTAAGTCATTATACTCTTCAATTATTTAACATTTCTGGCCAAGCTATCTTCTGTGGTCTTTTTTGTGCACATCAGGAATGATATGTACGGTTATAATTGCTTGTTGTTAGTGTGAGCGCTTTGCTTTGGAGCAAGGTTTAATTTTAACTTCTTAGGACCAATACTAAGAAGAATGTACAGAGGGAAGGGACTGTGATGGAAATAGCCTGAGCTCCATGAAACAGGATAGCTACAGCATTGGAATGTGCCTAATACAATCTGAGGTATCCTCACTCAGGAGCCCTGGCAGCATCTGCCTCTTAGGTACTATGCATTTTGAAGGACTATATCTCTATTTAAATGTAGATCTTTAGTTTTCTCCAGGGGGCACTTGGCAAATCTTTCAATCGAAGCACTGGTAGAAGAAAAGCGACTGAACATTTCTCCAGGAACAATAGCATCTGTCACTTTGAAGTAATGATTACTAAGTATCACAATATTGTGATTCTGTAAAAAAAAAAAAAAAAAAAAAAAAAAAAAATCATTTTAAAATTATCTTCCTAAAGTGAAAAATAACATACTGGGGCTTTCTGTGTAAAAGAGACACTGTCTTTTAGGACTTTGTTGTGTGTTGGTTACAGCTGTGACGTAACAGGGCTTTACAATTCAGGTTTTAGGTTCCCATTGCTGTTCCAGTAGAGTAACTAGGCCTTCAGAATCAGAGCAAGAATTAGCCACATGTTCACAGGCTCTCAGGCCAAAGTTAGGGGTAGAGTACTGTAGAGACTCTAAACAAGTCCCCCCCCCCCCAAAAAAAAAAAAAACCACACCACAACTACCCCTTACTTTTTGGTGGTACTGGAGCAGAAACCCAGGGGATCCTGCATACCAGGCAAGAACTCTACCACTGAGTTACTTCCCTAGCCCAAGGATATTGCCCCAAATAGTCAACTTTCATTTATTTTTATCCCAAGTCATCATTGTATAAAGTTTAGAATCAGTGGTCCAACACTAAGAAGCCCAAAGGGTCTTCTTTGAAGGTGATAATTGTGAAATATCTCCCAAGATTTTGAAATAGGCTGTCAACACACACATCTAATGGTTCTGATCCCTCAAATTGAGTGTGTTAGGGAAAATCTCTTTAAAAAAGTCTTTGAATGAACATTTTCTGGAATGAGGCTACAGCTCTCTGGGTGCTTAGATAAGAGCCTTTTCTTTTTCTTGGAGGTTAGATACCCTTCAGTATTCTACCCTGGTTGCAAGACCTCCTCCTTAGATTACCTCCTCCACTGTACTGGATAGAGACCCAGCCTTCCATCCTCCCCGGGACATAGGTACTGTACACACACATGCAAATGTATTTATTACCATACACCGAGTGACTCCTATGGCTGTAGAGTGGCGTCACAGTGTCACGTAAAGTTTTTGGTTGTCTCTGCTCATATTCCTATGATGAGAGGCACTTTGCTTATTCAACGATGTAATAATAATAATAATTACCACAAACCAAGGGATGAAGTCTTAGAAATTTCCAGGATACCAGAGATTCAACTCGGAGTTGCTTTTTGGGGGGCATGTCTGCTCAGGTAAATAACCTTGATCAAACTCTGAAAAGGAGGCTAAATCATGATTTGCTTGTTTTATTCCTCTATAGTATAAAGTGTAAGTTACAGACAAATTGCTTTATTTCCTTAGAAAATATGC